AGTATACGAATGATAATTTCGCCATAACTTTCATGCGGAATTCTTTAATAGCTTCTGTAGCGCTCCCATTCAATTGTGCACGCGTTACACTTGGCTCTATTAAAAAACTAATATATTTCTATAGAGGCGTGATTGTTCGGCGGTGCAAGGGAGGAAGGGGACGGAGATGGGGAGGGGGGGTCGCTCGTCGAATGACGACTGAGATGAAGTCTCAAAATGCAGCTCCCTGTTCGCAGACTTGTTGATCGGGGAGTCACCGTTTTCCTCGCCTTTCAAAAAATACATCTTACTTTTTCCCCCTTCCTTCTTTCCTGTCATATTAAAATGATTTCCTCGCAGAGGAGAAAGGAGGTGCTTATGCATTTTCTCATTTTTCGTAGAAAGGAATGCGGGGCCTTTCATGTATTGAAGTTACGATCATTCAGGCGATTCTGAGCCTACATTGGACCACTTGGCACGGTCAGAAATTAAGCGCAACACGTGCCACAGTGCTAACACGTGGAGACATCAAACATTTCTTAATTTGATTGTATTACAGCAGTATCTTGGAGGAAAAGCCAAACATATTATTTCTTTTTAGTGAGGAAAGAGTTGCAGGTCTCCGATTTCCCTTAGTCTTGGAGCTCTTACGGCCGTAAGTAAACTAACCAAATATACTTTGCTATTATTTGATGAGCTTCAAACATTCCATGGCAGCCTTTACATGCGAATTGAGCACATCGACGCAAAGTGGGTCGAGTCATTCGGAGAGGTCGGACATTTTTTTGGACACAAATTTTGGACTAAAACTGCAAATTTTGATGTTTATTTCGTCACATTTTGAATTTTAAGGAGTGCTCCCAGATGGAAATTTCGCGAAAAAACCATTGAGGCCACCTTTGGAACCTCAAAGTTGTGTACAAACGGAGTAATAAACTTTTAAAGTGTCCTTTTGTCCGATCTCTTCAATTGGCTCGATCCACTATGCGACGGTAAAACTCCCAAATCTCGTATCTCGATCTGCGACGTTGCTGACTTCCTGTCATACTTTATGATTCAAACGGAGAGCTACTTAATGTCAATTCTTGAAAATTTTCGTGACTTTTCCCCTCCGCGCGAAGCAAATTATTTCAAGGAAAATTTCGAAGGAACAACGAAATTTCAAGGAATAATATTGATTTTTTCTCCTATAAAAAAAATAAAATGGGAGGAGAGATTTTTAAACGTCACAAATGAGATAAGTGGTTTGGGAGTTTCACCGTCGCACAGCGAATCGAGGCAATTGAAGAGTTCGGACATGGAATTTTTTACTAAACCTGCAAATTCTGACGTTTACTTCGTCACATTTTGAATTTCATGGGGTGCTTCTGGAAGAAAATTTCACGAGGAAACCAATGGAACCACTTTTAAAACCTTAACGTTCTGTATGAACGGAGCCATAAGCGTCTAAATTTTCAAATTTTGTCTGACCTCTCCTTTTGACTCGATCCACTGTGTGTTGATACGCAGAAAACGCAACTGTTCGTGTGTATAACTCAGGAATTTTCACGTGGGATTAACTCGCCGCTCTCGGAGGAGCCTCATCCACTTAAAGAAACAATTTTTCCCCTGAGGAAACTGAGAAAAACCGGCGACTCGTCCCTTCTTGACGCACGATTAAACTTTCCTTCCGGGTTGGCGCGACGCGATGCGACGATATCCGGTCCATTAAGAAACGTGAGCAATGATTCACTACCAGACGACCGAACTCGGGAGAAACACCGTATGTACATTCGAGCGTTACCAAATCTCATTAAATCTTTCCTAAAAAACATGCTGAATTTTCACCTCGATTTTATCTCCGATTTTTTCTCTTACAATGTAATGAAAAGTTTTTGAAAATTTCAAGGGGTGGTATTTGTAATTGCACTGCGTTAAGGAGAAAGGAACCATAAGCTACGTATCCAAATTAAACTGGGCAATTTATTTTTTTACACAATAACGTTTTTGAAGGATTACTCAGAAAAATTTCAAGAATTTGCTTCCTATTACACTGGAAAAAAAACACATTGGATCTAGAGTCCAGACTCTTAAAAACATCGACAAGAAAAAGTACTCTTGATTCAATCAGAATCTAGCTTCAATCAAGAACTAAGCCTTTTAATCTAAGCGGATTTCGCTTAAATTCAAGCAAAAATCCGATTGAATCAAGAGTATTTTTTCTTGTCAATGTTTTCAAGAGTCTGGACTCTAGATCCAATGTGTTTTTTTCCAGTGTATGCAGAAAATTCACTGAAATTTGCATAAAAATCTGCATAACCGTTTTTAATGTAAAAAATTAAGTTGCCCAGTTAAAGGCAATAATTGATGTGGCTTGGTTCCTTCTTATTAAACGCGCTCCAATTTTCCTGGGAATAAATATGTTTTCGAGGGAAATTTTGCAACGTTGAAGTGTCGTTGCGGCGTTGTTCCTCGGCGGAGCTCGGAGTTAATTTCGCGGAGATTTGCGGGACCGCGGAACGTGTTAAAATGCTCAATAGAGGAGAAATAATTATCGGCCGGGATTTCGGCTCGCCAGTCCCGTGGGCGGCAACGACAAGAGACGACTTCCACCGAGGGGCTCCCATCCCGCGGGAGAGCCGCTTCCCACGGGAGAAGTTTCCCGGTTGAGCTCCGTTCCGTCAAGTATCCGTCCGAGCGGCTTAATCTCTCGCTCCGGATTTGATCCGCTTACGGATTTTCGCGGATTAGGCCGTGCCGCCGCCGCCACCTATCATCCTCGATCGACTATCGCCATTATTCGCTGAGAATATCGTCGTATTTGAATGTGATGTCATGGAAAGAACTCAAGATCAGTGTCGTTTTTTGGTTCACAGGACCAAAGCGGTAATATTCCTTAGCCATCTTATGTACATACTTTATGATCGGTACTAAGATAAGTCTTAAGTACCTTTACAGGGAGAGTATGGACAACTCGAAAATTTGGGGATACAGGACATTTGGATTGCATTTTGCAAAAAGGAACCACTAGCATTGCAATGATGCTAAGATTGTGCAACTTCATCTTTTGCAATAAAATTGCGGAAATTGTGAAAAACTATGAAATTAAGACGGTAATTTTTGTCTTAAATTTACAGTTTTTAGCGAGTAAAATAGAAACTATTAATGGATAATCGGGGTTTTCCTCCAAGACAAAAGAAGTTGCACAATCTTAGCAACATTGCAATGCTAGTGGTTCCTTTTTGCATAATGCAATCCATTTCGTCAACGATTTTTTGTCCGCGCACCCGTTTTTCCAGTAATCTATGTCCGCGCGTTATTTCGGCACGAGAGTTTTGGTCCACGTGCCAGTTGAGACCAAAAGTTAATTGGCCCACATGTAAATACAAACGACCATTGCTCACGACGTTTTTGGATGAAAATGTATAATGTCTTGGAAGAATGAGGGTTTGCTTGTTTTTTTGTTTTGTCTGTTTGGTCCAACGGAGAATAATATATAGTTGAGAGTTTTGGTAAAAACGGGAGAGCGTCAATTCCATGAGACAAAATTCACTAAAACTCTCTACACCTCTTTGGTGTAACAGGACTTAATTATCTTTCAAGAAATTCCCACCTTGTTATACCTGAACCGGATAAACCTCTTGCTTTGCCTCAACTAAAGGCTCTTAGATTTTTCCTGTGCACGATAAGTATCTTGATTTATTTTGCGAGGAAAGATTGTACTTTTAAAGGATGCCTGTCATCCTTGATACGTTCAATTTCGTATAATACTGTGCAACGCACCTCTGTTGTGAAATAGTTGCTTCAGGCGCCGCGCGCCGCCGCACCGCGGGCGGGCGGCCAGCGCGGAACGCGCATTGGCGCCTGCAAACCTAAGTGGATACTTCAAGCATTGTGCAATGCGTGAAGTATCCACTTAGGTTTGTAGGCGCCAGTGAGCCTCTCGCGCTGACAGCACGCCGCTCCGCTCTGTTAGGTTTTATTATTTTTACTCGCATAGTCAGCGTTTTTTAACTCATGATTTTGAAATGTTTGCACACTCTGCATTGATTGTTCTCATTTAAATTGATGGGGAAAAAATATTCATCAATTTATCAAAGGAGAATAATAATATAATGTGTGTTTTTTAAATATCGGTGGTTATCTAAAAGATGATTCTAAAGGAGAAAGTAATAACATTTCATTTAGAAAATGAGCAACCACAACAACACCTCCTTCTCTCTCAATTTCTCATTGCCATATTGTCAATATAATTTTACATATCGACTGAAATATAACGCTTGGACCAAGTCACTGTCGCTTATTTTACGCGTGGGCGTAAACTACCGGTCAAAAAAGGTGCGCGGACAAAAAATCGTTGACAAAATGTCTTGATGCTTGATTCTTGTACATTAGCTAAAAATAATAAGAGCCGTCCAAACAGCAACTTTCTACGTTCAATATTAGCCAAGATATAGTCGCTTGAAAAGTCGAGTTTCTGACGTCATCCACGGCGGTAGCGACACCCTTGGTTTCTTCCACCTTGCTTTCATCCGAGTTTCGCGTTGAATAACCAGCACAAATGTGCGTCACATCGACTGATGAAGACAAGATGGAAGAAACCAAGGGTGTCATGACCGCGCTGGATTACGTCAAAAACTCGACTTTTCCATGGGCAATGTCTCGGCTAATATTGAAGGTAGAAAGTTGCTGTTTGTCAGATTTTATTAGTTTTAATTAATCTACAAGAAAGGAGAATCAAAACACGATTCTGCAACCAACACATCTGACCCATTATCCGTGCGATTTTAAGAGTCTTTTGAATGATCAGGAACAATTTTACGAACATAAAAGGGCTTGCTGATAAAATTTTCCACGGTAACCCCTTATTCTCCATTCACGCAGAACAATTTTTTCAAAACTTCAATTCTGATGTCACTACTGTCACACTGTCTTTTCGGTAATACAGTAGGGTTCTTGACCCGTTTGGTTGACATTTGGGCAAGAAAGAAGATCCGGAAGGAGAAATATTGATTGAGAGGGAACAAAAGTTTGAAACTTACTACATTTGGCGCACTTCTCTTGATCTATCGCGACGAGTTCTTCATCCTGCTCTCCATTTTGTGTCCCGCTGCCGAAGACGTTTGTGAACATCTCCCACCAGGTTTCTCGGTTCTCGTCCGGGGCCTCTTCATTGTAATCTTCGTCTCCTTCGTCGAAATCAATCTCATCCAATTCCTAGAACAAACGAATTATTAATCAAATCAGGCCATGAGAAAACAATCTACTTTGGAATACATCCTGGATTTGAATGACCTGTCTCTCAAAAATTTTGGACCTCCGTACTTTCGGCTGTGGAGGTGGACAGGTCGTTTGTAAAATGGGTTGGTAACTCTTGCGAAATCAGTGGAAAAGTACATTCAGGACATAGGAATTTTAATGGGTGCATTGCAACTTCGTCGTCTCTCATTTGCGCTCATCGCGCAAATTATAGGTATTTCATCGTGTGCATCTTGCTCTTTGAAATATTTAGTATATTACTTGTTATATTTGGCTTGCGTTTAGCAGAAGGAACCAAGCCACATCAGTTATTGCCAAATTTAACTGGGCAATTTGATTTTTTACGAGAGAACATTTGTGCGGATTTTTTCGGAAATATCAAGGAATTTGGTTCGTAATATGCGGAAAATTCGCTAACATTTGCACAAAAATCCGCTCAATCGTTTTCATGTAAACAATTATAAAGTTGGCTATGGCTGATGTGGCTTGGTTCCTTTATGCTTAACACAGTCCATTTATGAGCTTCATCACTCCTCCCGGCGAACGATTATGAAACCACCTTGTGCGGACAGATCTGAGGTGCATTCATGTTGAAAGTCACAAACCCGTTTCTTGATTCATAGCGTCGCATATTCGGACCATCTTTTGCAATTGAAACTACAATTCCTGACTCAGTTTCGGAACAACGTAAATTTCGTTAGTTTCCCTATACATTTAAATGTATTTTTTGGATGAGCCAGGAATTGTAAATGACAAAAGTTACTCCTTGCTAACTCTTTTGCTTCCGAGTATGAAGAGACGCCACTGAAAAAATTATAATTTCGACACAGCTAACGAAAATTGGTGCTGGGACTCATTGGTGCTGTGTACCATATACTCATTGGAGTCGTGCACAAAGTTATTGATGCTTATCAGTTAAGGCACATCTCCAATAAATTTGTTGCACGTTACCATTAAGTTTAGTTTGGGTACTACTCTGCCGTCGAGGGTAAAACGCCGTATATGAGCCTACAGGCATTGTCAAATTTCCTCTGATAAAATATGGATTTTTAGGGGAACTTGCGTAAATTTTTTCCCGAATTTTTTTGAGAAATCTAGTTGCAGTTTAATCTACAATAACTATAAAAATTTAAAGGAGAAATATTTTTAATGTACTAAAAAATAAATGCTTTATAAAAGAATAATTGGCAACACCCGGATGTTCATACAGCGTTTTTCCTTAGCGCGGTAGTACACCAATTTTGGTTAGCTGTGTCGAAATTATCCAACCCATTCTTTTGCAGTAATGTGAGCACTTGAGTATCTGACAGTGCTGCCATTTTATTTTACCAAAAGACTCCGAAATCCCTCCGATTTCCGGAAACATATCCCGACTTGCCAAAGTTCCGAGAAAAATTCCAATTTTTTAAAAAATTCCGGGGGAATACACCGAAATACGCCCAAATTTACTTCCAAAGATCGTCAAATGTGATCAAAAAGTCTCAAAATTTGATCAAGTAAATGGCCAAACTGGCGAAAAACTGAAAATGTCGAGGAAATTCCGAAAAGAGCTGAAAATTCCGGGGATTTAGAAGATTCCGGGAAAAGTTCCGATTATTTCAAAAGTTCCGAATTTCGGAATTAATCCCAGGATATGGCAGCACTGGTATCTGAGGGTAGTTAGCGCACCTGCAATAGTGATCCGGAGACACAGGCCAACACGAGCAACACTTTAAACACGTCCAAGTACATAACGAAGCTGTTCTCTAACAATCGCGCACAAGCACCGCCGCAAACATAAATGATCGAGAACCATCCGGAGGCATAATACTTATTTATAACGAACGCCTTGGGCCGGCTCCTGGCGTGCAGCCTCCGGCGACGGCCCCCCGGTGCATGTGGCCCAAGGTCGCCGGAGCCCCCGATGTCGCCGACGGCCGAGATGTGGGTTTGCACGGCGATAAACGCGCCCGGCCGACGGCATCCCAATTCGGGGCCCGATAAGCCCCAAGGTCAAAGCCACGGACCCACAGTCTTATCGCCGCCAACCCGGGATGGCCCCAGGCTCCCGGGATCACTGTCATTGCCACGAGGCTTACCGCCGTCACCTGATTTTTGGGATTCCTGGAAAATGTACGAGCGCCAACGAGGTTATTGCGGAGGAAACGTGATCGTGGAGCCGAAGACGATACAGGGTGATCTATAAGTCCCGCACTACCGGTATGAGGTATCGTCTCTGAAACTTTTTAAAAATTTGAAATTAGACTTCGAATCTTGTGAGTGATCATGTGTCAAAGGAAACGACTAATAGGACACCACTCAAACATTTTTAGAAGATCCCTCTGAAAAATGATAAAAACCCTATGAGTTTTAGGAGTGGTGCGCGGGATTTTTGAATCACCCTGTATATTTTAGTGATTCCGCTCTGCTATCTCCTCTTTGGTGTAAAAGTTAAGTTTTGGATCCGCTGGATGATGATAGATGATGGCCGGAGAGATGTGGAATTGGTTTAACAATCCAAACCTAATTTTCAAAAACTTGCTTGGCAGAGTCTAATAGTGCGTTAGAGTTGCTTGCATGCACTGGAATACCGCTGAAGTCAATCCATGACTGGTGCATCCTAGCCTCCAATTCGTCAGAAGTGTGAACTCACTGTGAACCATGCAGCATTTTTTAACGAGGTGACCTTTAAAGAATCACGGGATGTTAGAGTTTTTCAGGATTTATACATTTAAATCATTAATTTGTACCGGGAATTTCAGAAAATTATGTTGGCCGAAGTCATATGTAATTCAAAAATGTGCACTACTCCCGATTTTATGTAGTAAATGTTACATGTCGACGGTGAAACTACCAAACCACGTATCTCGGTTTGCGACGTCGCAGACTTCCTGTCATACTTTATTTTTTAAATGAAAAACTACTCAACATCCAGTCTTGAAAATTTCTGTGATTTTTCCTCTTCGTGCGGAGAAAATTCCGTGAAAATTTCAAAGAATGATATTGATTTGGTCTACTTCAAAAAAATAAAATGTGAGCGTAGATTTTTAAACACCGCAAACGAGATACGTGGTTTGGTAGTTTCACCGTCGATGTCCGTAAATACCCTAAGGGACACCAAGAGCTGGGAACCCACGCATACGGCATACCCAGTCGCCGCACAGTAGTCTCAGGTGAGCTGGACAAAATAGCCCTAAAAAGGAGACTTCCACCCCCGAGGAGACCCGATTCCATTGCCGAGATTGTTAGTTCAGGGCTCTACAATTTATCGAATGGCCAAAGTGCTAAGCCACGTATCTCCATTGCGGTGTTTCAAAATGTCCTCCTCCGTTTTATTTCTTCTAAGAGAAACAAGTCAATTTTATAGCTTGGAAGTTTTTCAGAATATTCTCCTAATGGAAAAGAAAATCCAGGAAATGTTCGATGAATTACGTTGACTGGTTTTGCAAGGAAACCATGAAGAAAGACAGGAATTTTGCAACGTCGCAAACGGAGATACGAGGTTTCGCACTTCGGCCATCGAAATTGTCTCTGACTCTGACTGAAACCTTCCCAACTTGCATTGCGATGGAGAGCAGTACTGTAAAGAATATCGTCATGCTATATTAGTCTAGCTATAGATTACTCTAAAGACGTAACTTAAAAAGGAAGAATTTACTCTTAATGAATTTTCTCTCCTTTGCGATGAGTATTTCTGTTCCTTGGAAACAAACACTGATGACTATGACGTAATGTAAACATCTCTGTCGCTAATTGAGACAATGTTGAAGCGATGTTACATTTGAGACAAAGACGAGTCGCCCTTCCCGACGTAAGAATATAACAGCACATCGTATAATGAGCCCTCTTCTCGGTATAACTCCACGCCTCTGTGTCAGAGGAGCAGCGATTTACAGGAGATATTGGTACAATAACTGCGAAAAGTAGTTTAACTGTAATGTGTTTAATAACCACAGGACACTCAGCACTCTTGAAAGAGCAAACTGTCCTTTTATTAACCGCAGGGTTCCGTGCATTCCGCCACAACAGCTGCTTTGCTTGGACACAGCAAAGAGCAAAAATTTGGCGGTTAGGTATTGAATTTAATACAGCTTTTAAGATCCCTTCCATAGGAGCATGCTCAGCAATACAATCACGAGCTATGTTAGCTCTGATCTTTCTTGTAAAAAAAAGGTCCGCCTTTTGTGCGAAAAAGAGGAACAAAGAATTAATTCCTGAACTCCTAATGCCACGAAAAATGGTCATACCCGAATAAGCTAAGCCTCTCAGCGGACAGGCTAAATGGAGCTATTACAAGACTTGGGATTTGCGATTTAACTGGACTAGCTTACTTACGTTTAATGAGAAACACAATGATGCCATTCATTAAGGCCAAAGCCACTCAGTTCAATCAGGTTGCCAGTGTGGCAAGTAATAGGATGGACAAATTTTGACAAACGGAATGGCAATCACGGTTAAAGCGAACGCTTATCAAATCTAAGGCTAATGGGCCAAACAATACTATTCACTTAGATAAAAAAAAACAAACAAACAAAAAAAAAAAAAAAAAAAAAAAAAAAAAACAACAAAATAAAAAAACTGCAAAATGCAATCAGTTTTGACTGGAAGACACTGGTCTAAATGTTTAAAATACACGCATCGTACAAATATTGGTTTCGTCGTTGGCTTTTTCGTCATCGGTAAATTCCAAAATTAAGGTTTAGATTAGACATGCATGATCAGATGATAAATCAATATTTTGATGTTTTTCCTAAGCATTGTTAGGAGTTAATTTTCAATGATTCTTAATGGTATATAATTTTTCTGGCTCAACAATGTTCTTCAAGGCTTCATACTTTTTACTGTTTTATTTACTGATAACGACTTCATTTTTACATCATAAAATCGCCATTTTATACCTTCTTACATAATATATGGCGAGAGTTAAAGTAGTCTCCTGATTTGCTGCATTAAAACTTCTTTTATGGTTGCAGAATGACTTGTTCTTGGTGATGATGTGGTTCTTCTTACCACGTGATGTAGAAGGTTTACATTACGTTAAACACATTTTTTTTATTAATTTATTTTCTTCTGTTTTATTTTATTTTATTTTTAATATAGCAGTAAAACACCACACCTTGCTAGAATTCTATCACTACTCAAAATACGTTTTAACTAAAATGAGTGACTTTCAAATTCTAATTCAAACAGTTCGATACAATTATATTAGCTTTGGCGTGGCGCAAATTGCATATCCGCCCGTTCGAAGGAGCGCTGAATACCAGCTGCTATTGAGTCATACGTTTTGTGCAGTGAATTCAGTGGCATTCCGTAAGCCGGAAGCGCTCGCTGCATGGACATCATTGCCGGAAACGGTGAGATGTTGCAACTCGGGGGTTATTTTCGGTGACAATTTAACTGAACTCTCACGACAGTTACCAACCCAACGCCGCGCGCCGCACCTTGCTGCGCCGTCCTCCCCTGCGCTTGCATTTAGTGGCTCGAACGGTTCGCGAGTTGACGTTGCGCGCTACCCCCTCCCTCCCTTCCACTCCTCCACCCCCTCCTAAACGATAACGCTTTTTGTTGTTTCCCTGTTTTGCATTCAGCCACCGTTGGCAAATGGATCTGTCGCACATTTTTGCCAGAGCTAAAAAAAGGACTTGCTCCTTACGGAAAAAAAAAACTTAAAAATCACGATTTCAGACAGGTAGTATTAGTCACCCAGGGAGTTATGATCAAATTTATAGGGCAGGTAACCTAGGCAGTTGACAAACAGGATACCTGCTACGTTTCTAACATTTGCCGAAAATTAGGTCAAACTCTCTCTAAAGCGACATCGTGTTTGGAAATTTTCCGGGAAGGCCCCCAGACTCCCTTTGGTACCTATTTTTTCCGATGCAACCATCAGGGCGCAGAAAAATTTTTCTTGCCTTAGAGGGGCAAAACGTCAAATTCGGATATGCAGAGTCAGCTGCATGTGTCGTAAAATCGTGTTATGAAGATAGAAACTTTAAGACAAACAACACGGAGAAAAAGTGTGAGATTTTTTTGCTTAAAATAATTGTGGAAACACCCAAATTTGTTGGATATATTCAATTGGTCGTGGTAGTACCGCAACTGAAGTTGGGAAGCACCGTAAAATTTGGGTTGGTAACCTAATTTATCGAGGTGCTGCCACAATTAATTTTAAATATTCATATTATCCGACAACCCCGTGTTTTTTACGTAAAAAAATAACAAGGCATCTACTAAATTTTGCAGAAATAAACTACCATTTCTGGCTCATTTTAGAAAGAGAGGTGCCATCGGTTCCTTTCAGCAGATACCTTTCACGGTTGCACTAGAAATATCAGATCCCCATTGTAAGGTGTATTCCACATTATGTTTCGGCTTTAACTATGGTTCATCAATCAGAGATGTGCTCATTTACACTTTTTGCTGCACAACCATTACTAATTAGTCCAAGACAAACTGAGAAAAAAAGCTCGGTCGTATGAACTTTTTTTAAGGTGATGCATGTCAGTCGTTCTATTTGGTTCGTGTAATCGCAATTTCGGTTCCAGTAACCGTATCTTTGGTTCATGTATCCGAACTATATAAACTGAAGTGAACTGTAACAAAACCCGGTTGAATAACTAACGATGCGCTCCCTACAATGGAGAGTCGGGAAGATCCTATGAACCGAATAATGCGGCCGATCTGCAACACCGTGCTTAAGGCTCTTTTCATCAACTCTTATTCTCAGTGCAGTAGAGATATACGTCTGAGAAAACGATGTAATTGATGAGATAACTATTACTACTTCGAAGTAGGTTTGTTTGCCTACCCTCCTAATTGAAGGAATTTTTCTTCGGAGCAGTCTTGGTGTTCTACTCGACCTGCAATGT